CGAATTTCGATTCGGAACGACACGAATCGCACACGTCTAGTCCACATGTCTGGTGGAACCCTGTCCCTGAAGATCCCCTCCATGGAGGACAGGGGTATGCCTTCCTGAAGTGGAGAGTCTCTCCCCTGTGATGGATCTTCAAGAACCATGGGGCGTGAATTGGCGTTCAGCCCTTCTTAGAGTTGAGGGTCTTCTCCCTTGAAGTTGAAATGCCTCCACCTACAGGCCCTAAAGTCATCAGTAAGGGTTTTATGAAGAAAGAAAAAGAGTTGTCAAGGCTTTTCCGGTCCACCCCCTGGTGTAGGATGTTTTGTACATGGACTGGTACGTCTGGAATTGATTCAGTTTGACTGGAAAAAAAGACTGTTTGGTTAGTTTTTGGACGCCTTTATTTAGCACTTTCAGTTTGTGGTTCTTCATTTGGCCTATCCACCGCCCTCTGGGTCTTTACTAAGGGGCTGGCTCTGGTTTTTGTGCTGCTGCGCTGCCAGAGAATTCACATTGTGGGGTATCTGGACAATCTAATTTTGAAGGAGAGCTTAGCCCAGGTCTTCTCTGCCAATGTACGATAGATGATGCAGACACTTCAGGTGGATCTTTAATCTACAGAAGTCTGCGTTAGATCCAGTTCATTGCTTAGAGTACCTGGGCTTGGCCTTGGACACAGCACAGGCTTGGGTTTTTCTTCCTGAAAGAAGGTTTTGACTCTTTGTTCTTAGGTTTGGACCCTTTGCAGCAAGAAGCTACTGTTGGTGGTGATATTTGCCCAGTTTCATTCCCGACACCTTCACCTCAATATTCTGATTGTGGTGCAAAGTACCTCAGTCTCTGGATCACTATGCCTATGTAGATAAGCCAGGATCTCACTGACCTGGTGGCTGATCAGAGAAGCACTGAAGGCGGGGAAGTTTCTCCCGCCTACCTGGATGTTTTTACTATGGATGACAGTATGGCATTCTTGAGATGCTTGAGACAGGCCAGGGGACTTTGGTCCTCAAGGGAATCCAAACTTCCTATTTATGTTCTGAAGCTACAAGCGACTCGCATTGCCCTCCAGAGGTGGACAGGCCAACTTCCGAGACAAGTGATGAGGATTCAGTGGGACAACTCCACGACCATGGCTTACATCAGCCATCACGGCAGCACCTGAAGCCATGTGGCACAAAAGGAAGGGAACCTGATTCTGGCATGGGCCTAAAGGTACGTTCCAGCCATTGTCCACGGTCCACTTTCCCAGACTAGACAATTGGCAGGTGGGCATTCTCAGTCTTCAGTGCCTGGACAAGGTGTTTTAAGAAATCTGTCACTGCTGGTGAATGCCAGACATGGATATCTTGGCTTCAAAGACAAGGTGGACAGGTTCATGGCCAGGACTAGGGATCATTAGGCCCTTGGCAGTGAACATGCACAGTGACCCTGTGTGATCAATTTTGGCTGATATATGCCTTCTCTCTGATACAGATTTTTCCTCATTTGCTTCACAGTATTGAGATGGAGTTGTTTTGGTGATTTTGGTGGTGCAAAACCGGTCCAGAAGTTGGTACTTAGATATTCTCCTACTCTTGGAAGATTCTCCTTGGAATCTTTCCCCTGATCTGCTTTTTAAGTAACATCAACCATCACGGCAGCACCTGAAGCCATGTGGCACAAAAGGAAGGGAACCTGATTCTGGCATGGGCCTAAAGGTACGTTCCAGCCATTGTCCACGGTCCACTTTCCCAGACTAGACAATTGGCAGGTGGGCATTCTCAGTCTATCTATGCTGCTTCTCGGTCACTGGCTTGGCTGTTAAAGCCCATGTCCTGATTTTTAAAAATCCCATGTGATCCACCCTGTTAAAGATTTAACAATCCCATGTTATCCACCCTGTTAAAGATTTAAGACAGGACACAGGGCAGTTTCGTTCATAGGTTCTTATGAAGGGGGCGTGCCCCAGAAACACGTAAACCTTTTGCTAACACAGGGATAGAGGACGCTGGTGAATTTTATCACTCCAGACTCTCCCTGCCAGAGGTTCCGACTTCTCATCCTACTCTATTGGTTTTTTTCAACTGAATTGTTGTAAGCACAGCCTTAGAGCTGCGTGTTTTTATTATTAAATCACTCTTTTACACTATGGAGGCGCTTTCTTTTGTTCCTTGGTCTTGAGTACCCTCATAGGTGAAATCTCAGCCTTGGCTATTCTCTTTCAGAGACCTCTTTCTGCTCACTCCCTGGTAAAAACTTTTAAATAGGGATGACTCATGTAGCTCGCCTTGTTTGTTCACCGGTATTACCATGGAATCTTAATCTGGTCATTAGCTCTCCAGAGACCTCATTTTGAGACCATTAGACATATTCCCTTGACCTTACTCATAAGGTGGCCTTCCTTGTGGCTCACTTCTGCAAGACGGGTTCCAGAATTGGCTGCCTTTTCTGATTCTTCAAAGAGATAAGGTGGTTCTAAGACCTCACGTCTCCTTTCTTCCCAAGGTGGTTTCTTCCTATCCCCCTAATCGGAACGTTGTCCTGCCTTCTCTTTGCCCTGCTCCAAAGAATCCCAAAGAGATTTTCTGTACTGTTTGGAAGTGGTGCACGCGTGTGTATACTGTACCTCTATTCGCCAATCAAATGCTGTCTTCTTCCTGTTTCAGGGCTTCTACAAGGGGCACCCTGCATCTCATTCCACCATTGTACTTGTGAGTAAAATCCACGCTTTTGGTGTTTCCTTTCATTCCACCATTGCTAGGTGGATTAGCCACAAAAACCTATGCCTTGAAGGATCGGGTTCCTCTCATTCCGGTTAAAGCTTACTTAACTAGCTTTTTCAGTGCCTCTTGGGCCTGTCAGTACCAGGCATCTGTTTATCAGATTTGCAAGGCTGCCACTAGGTCTCCGGTTCATAACATTTTACCAGGTGGATGTTCAGCGTCAGCCCTAAGGTGCTTCAGGCCTCTCATTTTAAGTTGGTTCTTGTGGGCCTCCTGGCGTTGTTTGCTGTATTGGCCATCCCTCAGTTGCTCGCGGTATACTGCGGCGTCTCAGTATACCGCGAGCTACAGATTGCGGTATACTGAACCTAGGGTGACGGGAGGACGCTAGTTTGTGTCCTCCCCTTACCCTAAGGAGAACTATGGGAAAAAGCCTTAACCCCATAGTTCTCCTTTTAAAGGAGATTGTGTTCTGTGCTGTACAATTATGAAAACTGGATTTTTGATATGCCTGTAAAATCTATTTTGTGGAGTACAGTACAGGACACAGGTCAGTCCTTCTTTCTTGCTACAAAACTGATGAGTGGGAGTGTTTATATGGGCTGTCCTACAATTCTGTTTGCCAGTGTCCATTCACCTGAAGGTAGCTGCATATGACAATGTACTAAAAGAACCCTGTGCACAGAGAGTGAAAACCATAGCAATATCTCCTGCTAAGGATTCATCTACAAATTGCTGGTTCAAGGAAAGCTGCTGTAGGAAAATGTGGAGCCTGTTATTGCTGATCCAGTGGCTTTATTACTTGACCACTCTGAATCACTGACCCAGAACACGTAGGTAGGTGAGAAGTTCTGACCTCACTTCCTTGATCTGCATTCCTAGTCTAAAGGTGCCCATACACCTTACGATTATCGGACGAAACTTTTCGTCCGATGATCGAACCGTCGTACGATTTTCGTACGACGGCCCCATCCTGCCCCGATTATCGCAAGGTTCAATCAGCGGTAGTTAGAAAAAAACACCTGGACGACTTGCGGTAATTGACCGCAATTATTTTCGTTTGCGCATGCGCAGTGTTAATCGTACGACTTTTGACGGACGGAAACGCCACCAACCATGCGAACATCGTACGATCAACCAAAGTTTTCAAACATGCTTGACCGTCAAAAGTCGTACGATTGTACAGTACTATCGGTCGGGCACTCTATTCACACGTTACGATTGTCGTACGAAAAGTCGATCGCATACGATTATCGTAAGGTGTATGGGCACCTTAAGTCCATGACTAAGAAAGTCTAGAAGTCAAGGACAGCTAGACACACAGGAGCAGTTAAGCATTCGTTGTCTAGTAATACAGGTTCCTTTAGAAATGTCTGGTATACAGGAATGTTGGCTTTGTACTGTGTAAAAGAAATGCGACAGTGGGATCTGCCTCTGTTAGGCAACGCAGTCTGGTTCATCTGTACGGATTTCCTGGGTAGGCCCCATGACCCAGCACATTCCTGATGGTGTTAATCCTGAGATCCTACATTTGTTTCTGTATTTGAGTCTTTGCATAAAAAGAGAACAAGGACAGGCCATTCTCTGTCACTGTACACTTTATAGAACTATTTACGTTGGGGGATCGTGTAGCTTTGAGTGGTTTTCCCTATAATCTGTTCCTCATTCCAAGTGCTGACCCACAATGTAACAAAGCAGACGTCTGCCTTCTCTTATGCCCCAAGTTTATATTGTCAGGTTTTCCAGCATCTCCAGAAATATTGCGCAAGTCCCAGGCCTGATGATGATAAATGTTCTGTCTCCAGGTCCCTGTGCACACTCACGCCATGTGTTCATGACCTTTCAGGGGAGACTGTACAATGTAATAAGCCCGTTCTCAGGCCAGGCAGGGAAAATGATCCGAAGTCTACATCTGAGGCTGGTACTTATACAGGGAAGCTGTTGAGCTGGGGAGAGTTGATGGGATTATGTCTTTGTTAAAGAAACTGTGCTTATCCTTTCAACAGCCACTTGGCTTAAGGCTGACCCCGAACAAACAAGCCTCATCAAGAGAACTAGTTAGTGAGATGTTTCTGCCCGTCGTCTTTCCCATGGATGGGTAACTGGGACAGTATTCTGATTAATGGGTGGATATTGCATACACACACACTGCTCACCTTCCCTTTTCTCCACAGAAATGGCAAATATCTGCACCAGTTCTGAGGTCTTCACCATATTGTCTTTGTGCAGCAAGCGCTTTCTCTGCTCAGAAACCCTTCTTGTCCTCTACACAGCCCAGTTGTTTACAGACACCCCTAACTAAATGTCTCCATACCGCACAGATTTCCATCGACATTTGTGGGCAATGCAGATGCCATGTCTCCACCACTCAACACCTCACCACCACCTGCCACTCTGCCACTGCTCCAAGCTGTGAGCCCTAACCCTGCGGATGGGACCCTGAACCCATCTGAGATGAACCCACCTTCCAGCGGCACACGTAAAGCCAGAGTTCTGTATGATTACGAGGCAGCGGACAGCAGCGAGCTGCCACTCAAGGCAGACGAGGTAAGAGAGGGAAAACTGTAGCTTGCATTTCTTCCTAAAAGGAGTTTACTGTGCGCGTTTACCGGTTCCTTTTGTTCCCTTTTCAGTTAATTACCGTTTACAGCCTCCCTGGCATGGACCCAGACTGGCTCGTTGGAGAACGAGGGAATCGGAAAGGAAAAGTACCAGTTACCTACCTGGAGCTTCTCAGCTAGACTAGAGTAACAGATTTGCAGAATCTCTCGACAAGCCAATTGCCCCTAGGGGCCGACTCATTGCTCCGAGGCTGCTGCTGCTTCAAATCCCAGTTCATCTGTCGTTGCAAGTTCCCTCTTTTTCACACACAGCCCTCCTTGTAACTGATCAGCCTCCAATTGTATTGACTGAGCAGTACAGCTGTAGTTATCCGCCTCACACTGTGCATTACTAAACTGTAGTCTGCTCCCCTTTCATGACCAAAGCGGCTTGCACAAATCTCCCAAAGCTTGTTACCAATGAGGCCGCAAGCCAAGGTGGCAGCAGCTCCCACAGTGCCGAGTCTTCTGTGGTTGAGGATTCCCAACATTTTGATACTTACAGTCAAAGTGGAGTTCTGTACATTTGAGATTTCTGCGACTATAAAAAAAAATCCTCTTTGTGGGGCATGCTCGAAACTCCGAATTTTCTTGTAGTATAAAGAGAAAAAAAAATCACTTTGGCATCACTATGCAGAGAGAGAATGTAAAGGGACTTACTCGGTTCCTTTTAGAGCCAAGCCATCTTTTTTTTTAAGCAGTAGAGGAAGCCATATTGTGCCCCTTTCAAATGAGATTTCTAGTCACAAGATAGACCGTATATAATAGGCCTGGTATGAAATGGCTGTTTTACCTAGGTGCAGTGTCAGGGATGCTCTTTAAAGAGGACCTGTCAACTTGCAAAAGAGATGATGTTTGAGAACCACAATTTGTTCCCTACCCTTTATAATGTCAATGACTTATCTTGTTCAGCGAGGTTTACCTAGGCCGGTGACATCCACCATTCCCAATGCTAGAAACACAGTTTTGTTGTCTGTACTGGATTTACTGGATTACAGACTGTTCTCAAAGTGACACTAAACTCAGGAGTTACATCTTATACATCCATTCAAGTACCTGAACTATTAACCAAAATGTATCTGATTTGTGTATCACTCGGCTGTAGATCCTCAAATCATCTCTGAATTGGTGATGACACTGTCCTTCCTTCTGGAGGGGGGCTACTTATGTTCCCCATGGTCACTGTGTGTGTTGTAAAGTAGCCCCCCGCTCCAAGCTCGCTCCTGTGATGGGCTACAATCTTATCTTTAGCTTACTCATTTGTATTGCGATTGTAATCCATCACAGGAGTGAGCTTGGAGCGGTGACTACTTTACAACACACACAGGGACCATGGGGAACAAATGTAGCCACCCTCCAGAAGGAAGGACAGTGTCATCACCAATTCAGAGATGATTTGAGGATCTACAGCCGAGTGATACACAAATCCGATACATTTTGGTTAATAGTTCAGGTACTTGAATGGATGTATAAGATGTAACTCCTGAGTTTAGTGTCACTATAATACCTTGCTGGCCATCTCTAACCGATCACGAAAACAAAGCTGAATATTCTCCATTGGGTTTGTGGATACTTCAGCATAATGGAACTTTTCCCTCCCTGTCCTCCCTTCCAATGCCAGCCCTGCAGGAGTTGTAGTTTCATATGTCAAGCCACTTGCAGCATATAGATAGTCGTGGCAAGTCTGAAGCCATTCCGTTATTGGACACGGCAACTTTAACTGAATCATTATGTTCTGTGTTGTCAGTCATAGAAAGTGGGGGTAGAACATCTTCTTTTCCTCTCTGAGCTATCACTGGGGAACACAGCAGCCTGCTGGAGGAGAAGGCCTGCCCCATGGATGGACACTATTCAAAAGCAATGTACTCTCCCTGTATAGCCTATTCCAGGGGTAGTCAAACTTCTGCACCTCCTGCTGTGGTGAAACTACAAATCCCGTCATGCATCAGCCTCTGGTAGTCATGCCTGTGTCTTGCAATGCCTCATGGGATTTGTAGTTTCACCACAGCTGGAGGGCCAAAGTTTGCCTAGCCCTGGCCTATACCCTTCTGCTTAGCCTTATGTCCTAGGTCAGGGATGGCGAACCTTGGCACTCCAGCTGTTTTGGAACTAAAGTCCCATGAGGCATTGCAAGGCTCTGACAGCCACAGACATAACTCCCAGAGGCAGATGCATGTTGGGATTTGTAGTTTTGGCACAGCTGGAGTGCCAAGGTTCGCCACCCCTGTCCTAGGTGGTAGTTTCTGGTCCTGTTTAGTAGAGACCTCTTCACACTTCTCATGCGTTTTGCTGCATGAAGATGTACTGCAGGTAGCAATGCCGTTATTTCCTGTGGGGGTGCGTCACATCTATGGGATGAGGTTTAGCAGGAAAGGGAAACTATATGGCACTGTTTACACCTAATGAGAGTGTATCAGCACTGCACAGTGTGAATCCAGCCAAAAAGGGGATTCTTTTTTTTCTAGATCCCCTAATTGGGTATACAACATGAACACTGTGTCACTAGGCCAAGTAAACATTCCCCTCCCATAGTCCTCTTCATATCATTACAGGGAGAAGAAAACACACCACGTCCCCGTGACAGCCTACTCCTTTTCCAGTCGTCTCTCTGCAAATGACAGGTCCTCATTAAAGGGCAACTACATTCTGTGTGATGCTAAACTTTCCTTCATACGAATGTCACATGACTGGAATCTACTATGCTGCTCTAGGGAAGGACAGACAATGCATTTAGGGAATATGGAGCACCTTCCAACTGTAATTGTGTTTCTGTCTGAACAATTCTTGTTGCCAATAGCAACATATTCTCCCTTTTCATTCTCTCATACTGCGCTAAAACCACGCGAGAATCTGATTGGATGATGTGAGCTGCACAGTTCTTCAGTCAGAGGCCCGCTATTATTGATCTGATTTTGTCAGTTACGTTGCATTTTCTTATCTTTGTGTAATGGCCTCCTGTGCTGCAACACAAAATGGCTCCCGTACTGTCACACCCCCTCCCCTCCCTCCTACCAGGGCCAGACTCTCTCCAGCATCTCTGGTTCTGCCGTTATGTTCCAGACTTTTCTAGCAAGGTGCAGGTAAACCAAGAGGTCCACCGCTTCACCACATGTAATGATTCCTTTCTCTCCTCCTCCCCCCTGTGTGTTATTTATTGCCTGTCTGCATTTACTGTCTGTGTTTGATTAGATATATTAATAATAAATTGAAGTCATTCCTGCAAATGGAGCATTTTTGTGATTTTTTTTTTTCCCCCTCGGCAAAGACTGCTCAGACCACAACCTGTAAACAATTTCTTTTACTTTCAGTATAAATAGGGATGTCCAAAAAATACAAGTTGTCTCCAAGAAAAACAAACAAACAAGCATACAAAAAGAAAAATGAATGAAGGGCACACTGGCATGGTGGCGTCTGAAGGGCATACTGGCATCTGAAGGGCATACTGGCATGGTGGTGTCTGAAGGGCACACTGGCATGGTGGCGTCTGAAGGGCATACTGGCATCTGAAGGGCATACTGGCATCTGAAGGGCATACTGGCATGGTGGCGTCTGAAGGGCACACTGGCATGGTGGCGTCAAGCTCTGCATGCGATGACACCGAGTGCAGTCACTGCATGTTCCATGAGGAGGCTTTTATGTCTCCAGACCCACAATGGGAGTTTTCCCCACGGTAAGCTTCCACATCATAAATCCCTCATCTGACTACAGCAAGTCACATCAGATGGTTGCTGAATTGTGTACTGCCTCAGTGACTGCTTGTATGCTCACAGATGTATACAGAAATGCGTGCAGACTTGTGGTCATGTGACAGGCACTGGCCTTACAAAGATGCTTGATGGTCGCCTTAGACCTGAAACAAAACAGTAGTTGGTGGCCTGTTGGTAGCGGTCTACATAATGGTCGTGGTCCATGAAAGGGGCGATTCATTTATGTACACTCTTTAACCAGTCCCAATGGTTCCTATCTCTGTACATGCCGTATAAACACTTGGACCAGCTGGATTATTGGCTCCTGGGCTTCAGGAGATCCCTTCAACGACGTTCCGGCCTTTGACTGCGGGGAAGGCAAGTGGCCAGCTGCAGGAGAGGGAGGGACACCGCGTCGCATGTACCGTGATAGGCTGGACACCAGCGTGCTCTGAAATCAGAATAAAAGAATGGATTATTCGAGTTCTATGATATGGCCATCCTCAGAGCTTCCTCCGATCACTGGGGTATTACGTACCCTTTGGGGGATGGACATTGAGGGGAATTTATCAAAACTGGGAGTATATTTGTACTGTAACCAATCAGCTTCTCTCTCTCATTTTCAAATCTTATTCAAACAAACTGAAGAGAGATGCTGATTGGTTGCCATGGGCAACTGCTCCACATTTTGATCCATTGCCCCCATTGTATGCCCCACCTGTGTGAGTTAGATCTCCTGCACAGGAAGCGAGGAGCCTGCTTTAGCGGATAAATAAAAAGATGGCCAGTTACACTCGTCCCTCCTGAATATATTGTTCACACCGTGTCTGGGCCAGATCTGCAAATGCAGTGCGGGTTTTTTAGCTTAAAAATGGGCTTTCAGGTGCAGTCCAGTGCATTTGCAATGCATTCCAGTGCGTTCTGGACCAGAGAAAATAAGACCAGCAGTATTTTGTTTGTCTGCACCAGAACGGACTACACTGGTGTGAACAGAGCCCAGAAATACCATAGAGATACATTGAGATGCTTTTTTTTGGTCCGGGGACAAATTGTTCTGGTCTGGACAGGGTGTGAACAAGCCCTGAAAGTCAAACACCAGCACAAACTTTGTATATTTTTGATAGAAAGCAGAGAGGTCTCCATTTCTTTCCTCTGATGTGTTTCCACAATGAGCAGATTTCTGAATGTAGTTACCAGGATATGAAGTACAATCAATCTGTCCCGGGCCAAAACACACTGAGATAAAAATACTGGGAATGGTCAGACCATCTGACAGGGTTTAGTGCTGCAGGGGAAATGCCCCCGAATGGGGACGCAGGCTAGTACTAAAATCCAGACAGATGTTCTAACCCATCCCCCCACTCTACCCCCAAATAAATAGCTGGAAGTCATAGAATATAAACCATCAGACTGGGAACAGGTCTGGAGTACAGATTCATCTACTCTAAGTATTGGTTTAGTAAAGAAGAAAGGTAATACATAGAGTACAGTGCAACACCATGGAAGGGCTGTTGGTTGGTGAATTGGATTTCCAAGCTGCAGTAACATATAGACCTTAGTGCAGCTTGCTAAAGTCAATTTACCAACCAACAGCTCGGAAATTTCAGCTTTTCATCGCAAAGCCACAGATGGTCATCGTCCCATCAACAAGACTATACGGGAAAATAAAGTCTCTCTGACAAAGGTTTCCCCAATCTCTGATGATCAAATAATTCATTGATTCATACCAATTCCGAGGCGAGCTCTTGCTTCATGCGCTGCTTGTCCCGGGGGTTGACTGATGGATCACGCAGATAGAGCAGGGCTTGTGATATCAACAGATAGAAACAGTTCTCAATGATAAATAGCAGCAGAGGTCTGATGGAAAACAAATGACATAGAAATCAACATTCCGCTGATTCTTTACACATCTTTGATTTTTAAAAAGGTTTATAGGTGGGAATTTGTCAAGAATGCTGCAG